GATATTCTATGGCTTCATAAAGAATTCTGACCTACATTAGGGATTTCCAAGGACATAGAACCAATAGAAGGAGTATGTACAGATTGTCCCTAACAATTATTCAACTTGTGATTTTTTTGTTTTCTATTATAGTATGAATGTAACAAGCTGTTTTTCACTTTCAGTGTTATTCAATAAACTGCATAACATGTCCCACATTTTATTATAAAAAAAATTGGGGGAAAGGAAGATGTAGGAAAACTCCAAATTTACAGTCTAGATGGACTGCTTTGGCTGGAAAGTTCATTTCTAGCTGGTGTCTAAAGTCAGAATTAGGAGCAATCTTATAGGACTGGGTCTGTACTAACTTTTGGTAGTGTCAGAATTAGATAGAATTATGGGACAATTTATTCCACAGTCAGTGTCATAGAGTTGGTGTTGAAATGATGTATACAGTGTCAGAAACACACACACACACACACACACACACATTTTCTTGTACATTTCCATATATTTTCTCATTTTCCTGTAGGTAATAACTTAAACATCATTTCTAAGCAAAAGTTCTCTGGTTTCCAAGACCACCTTGGACCCTGGCTTTCCTTCAGAGTACACATAAAGATTTATTGTATAATTACCCCATCCATTAGACAGGAGGCTTTGTAAGTTTCTTTTGTGTTGAAGAGTTTATTTGCTCTTATGTTGTAAATTCATTATCCAGGGATAGGAATTGTCTCTTATAGGGTTGTGAGGATTGAGTTAGTGCATGTAATACACTACCACACGGTGAGCACTCTGTAAGTATTTGCTATTACTGCTCATCTTTGAGTTTCTACACTTCTCCATGTAAAGTAGGCCACAAATGTGTTAAGGTAAACTGAATTTGTATGCAAATTGTGTTACAGCTAACTGTACAGTAAAATTCTGCATTATGGGTTCATTTTCATAGTATATTTTTATATCCTTCAAACAGCATCAAACTAAAGGCCTGCAACAAGTATAGTTATTGACAAGTATCTGAAAGAAATGAACCTCATATTATACTTTTACACAGGTCAGAGCCAATTACCTACAACTGGGCAAAGTCAGGCTAAAAACCTATGCCATTATTTTACCTCTCTGATGTGATGTGAAAGATATAAGCAAAATATTGAATGGAAGATAAAAGATTGTCCTATAATACAAATATGTATAATTTTTTTCTCTTTAAATTGTAAGAGAGATAAAATCATCATGTAAAAATAACTGGAAAAGCCAATATGTGTTACTAAGTACTTGTAATGACTTAAACACAAGTACCATCAAGAATTCAGTCTTGGAGCCAGGGAGATAGCTCAGTGACCTAAGCACCTGCCTGGCAAACGCAAGGACCTAGGTTCAAGCCCCTAGTATGGTATGCTGCACCGGCTACCAAAACCAGCTGTGGTGGTGCACACCTGTAATCCCAGCCCTGGGGAGGCTGAGACAGGAGGGTCACTAGGACTCCAATTCTGTGTAGGGAGGCCCTGTATCAAATACATAAAAGACGAAAAAAAGAAAGAAAGAAAGACAGAGAGAGAAACAAAGAAAGAAAACTCAGTCTTGCCTGACAGTCTATTAGAGGTCCTCAAGAATCACTAATTCAAAGATATTGCCAAAGATTTTTTTACTAGCATATTTTGGTTATAGGTAAGTAGGTATTTTACATCAGTGTGTTTCTTCAAGGATCAAATTCAATTTAAGGATGGCAGCATATTCTTTCAATAAAAGTTTATTAAAGTCAAAGCTATCGGCTCCCAACATTTATTGCATATTTACTTGGAGGTTGGCATTACCTTAATATGGAAATGGAAATGTATGGAAATGTGCAGGCAAAAGTATGTTTCTGACTGCATATGCCATTTCAACACCAATTACATGACACTTACTGGGGGATGCATTGTCCTATAAGTAATATATAAGTGAAATTGAGACATAAAGTGGCTGTGTATTTCATTCATATAGCAAATATAATAACAGCAAACTCAGAATTTGAACCTAAATTCACTCAGCACCAAAGCACCTGCTCCTAATCCCCACACTGGGGCTGCTCAAATGAATTAGCAGAGGGAAGCACACAAAACTGGGTTAAATTGAAATCCTTTAGCATCTAAATAATTTTAGCATCTAAATAAGTATGTTGTGAATGAACAAATGAAAATTCAGTCTTATAACATGTGACTTTACCTTTCCTTTCTTGTGAATTATCCATCAGAAAATGTTCCTAATTTCTCTGTCCAAAACAGTCTTTTCTTTTCTTTCTTTTTTTTTTTTTTTTTTTTTAGGGAAGGATCTACAGGGTATTCAGGGTCTCACTAATAGATCAGACTTGTAATTATCCTCCTGTTTACAGCCTCACAAGAACTGGGATTACAGGTGCACGCCACTACACCCAGTCTCAATTGCTGTCTCAGTGCACCCCAGTATAGAACCCCAGGCCCCTGAGCCTGATTGTAGGCATTTTAATCTGTTGAGCAATATGGCCAAGTTAAAAACAGTCTTAACTTTTTGTTGTTGTTACTGAGATGTTATTTGTCTGGCAACCATTCTCCTTGTTTTCCCACTTCCATTAAATGAGCCAACTAAGAAAATGGGAGTAAACGAGACATAAGAATTCAGAGTAATCTAGAACAAGATCTTAGGTGTTAAGACAAAATGTATCACATAATCCTGTTTATTACAACAGATTTACATGAAAAAAGAAAAAAAAACTGAGAAATTATTGAAAACTGAATTCTTGTAGGAAGTTCTCTAGTGGTCTATTTCCAAACCTTAAAACAGTCAGCAATGAGGTCATCAGGGTATTGAAATGCACATAATCAGAAAACAACCCATTCCCTTCTTTGAGTGTGTGTGTGTTTCTGGGCTTTTTTTTTTTTTTTTCTTTTTTAGGCAGAGTCTCATTGGATCAGTAAGTTGCTATGTCTGGGCTTGCGATTGTGGCCCCACCCCCACCGCAGGATCACAGAGTGCTGAGATGGCAGGTGTGTCCCACCACACCCTGCTAACTGCCCCTGCCTGAGTAATTGGTTCAGCAAGATTATGGAGTAATTACAATCAAATGGGAAACCAGAGAGATGCAACTGGTAATGCTTATGAAAGGATGCAAGCATACAAATGTTATGTCTGAATGGGTACTTCTTTTTTTTTTTTTTTCGGAACCGGGGATTGAACTCAGATCCTTGCGTTTGCCAGTCAAGCGCTTATTCTACTGAGCCATTTTCCCGGCCCCTGAATGGGTACTTTTTAATGTAAATGATTTTATCCTTAACCACTTGTGAATGTGAGACTATGTCCAGAACATTCAATTGTGATTAACTGCTGCAGTTTCTAGATACATGTAGGCTACCTGAGTGAGCTTCTATTGTGGCAAGATGCCAATTTTTCTGAGGTGAGAAATGCAGAATTTGCTAATGGATTTCCTGATCATTCGAGGCATCTAACAGTAAGCCTAAAGTGAATAGTACTAAAGGCTTGATACTTTCAAAAGTAGAAGGCTGAAAGAAATTCTACTGTTTATTGGTCAAAAGGTTATATACTGTTCCTTAGCAACCAGCATTTGTCTTTCTTTTCTGTGACAAAGAAGTCACTGAAAAGGGGGAAACTAAAAATAAAACCATCTGGATGATTCCAGTACACAGACAGAACTTCAAAGGCAGTAAAGAATGTCTTTTACAAACCACAGTGAATGAAAGCAACTCATTCCTTGGGAGGAAAGAGGATCACGGATGCTGCATAATAGATGCGTCCGGGACACCAGCTGCAGTCCCTGAAGCAAAGACTAAGAACAAACTCCCTGTTCAAGCTCAAGGCACATTCAACCTTGAGCTGCCCAGTCCTTCCTCTTAGCCCTCTCCACTGGTCCCAAGAGGCAAGTTTACCTAGGAGTCATGTGGGGGGCAAGCTTGCTCCTCAGGGTCACCTCTGGATCCTCTCTCTAACCCGTGCCACCTTTCTCCTTGCTCTGAGCTTGGTGTCTGGTGTGGCAAGCCCACTGATAGCGCCAATTTTTAAAAATCAATAATGAAAACCTATTTTCATACTTAGCTGGAGCATAAATTCTGGAGACACCTGAAAAATTATAAGAAACCTGGGGCAGTTTGTATATGTTCCATCTTTCAATCCTGTAATTAGAGAATCAGTAATGTCTTTAAAAGGAATGAGCCTCCAGGCTTGGTGGCGCAGGCCTGTAATCCCAGAACTCCAGGAACTGAGGCAAGAGGATCTCTTCGAGTTCAAGTCCTGCCTGGGCTACAAAGTGAGTTCAAGGCCTGCATGAACTGCATAGCAAAACCCTGTCCCCAAAAGAAATAATAACAATAATAATGAGAGCGCGGATATTTAGTAGTGGGCCCCAATCTGACAGGTTCAAGGTATGGATGCCTTTGTTTAGGCAAATGATATTTCATCTTCTAGGCTGGGTTTAGCGGAGCACACCAGAATCCTTGCGAGTTCGAGGCAAGACTTTGTCTCAAAAGACAAAATAAAAACCCAAAATCCGTTATTGGGCTCCTGTGGTTTCAAACTCCAAACCCCAAGAAGATGCCTGTGTACTTTGTAGCAGGGGTCCCATCCCCAGACCGGTTAACCACTTACCTCCTCTGCTCTGAGGGTCCCAGGACCCCAGGGACCGCTGCCGCCAGACGCTGGCCCTGGCTTCGCAGCTGGCCGGGTGCACCCGCGTCCCGGGAGGCGGGAGCGGGGCGGGAGCGGGCGCCCAAGGCTGCACTACCAGCGTACATGGTCCAGAGCGGATGGCCTGGCCCGAGCGGAGAACTCTACTTAGCGGACGCCGCGGTTTTAACAGCTGAGTTTCGTTTTCTCCCTAGAAAGCTGAGCCCGCCCACAGAGAACTTCCCCGAAAGCCCCGGAGCCCTCCCACCCGACGCGACCCCACCCGGCCCCGATCCAATCCGACCCGGGCCGACCCGACCCCAACCGACCCTTCTCGACCCCAGCCAACCCCAGCCGACCCCAGCCGACCCCTCCCGACCCCTCCCGACCCCTCCCGACCCAGCCCAGGCAGGTCCACCGCAAGGTTCCTGCTCTTCTGGCCACTGGGGGTGGGGGCGGGAGTGGAGTGGGGGTGGGCAGTGGAGAGTGGGGTCTGGCGGCCTCTCCCAGCTACAGAAGAGACGGTTTAAAGCCTCAGGAGCACTTTACAGGGTAATAAGGGTAATTATGGTCAACTACGATATTATGTGAACGAAAAGTCAGAAAGGACTAGAATACTAAAAAACACATAAGGAAGTGTTAACAGATATCCCTCTTTTGAAGTTTCCGTTGGCTTTTTAAGGCCTGGGGGATGTTACCTTCAGGTGCCAGAGATTAGGTCAATAGCATATATTGCCCTTTATTAGTAGTGACTGCTGCTAGGCTGCTGACACGCAGAGGACATGGAAAGTGAAATGGGGAGGAGGAGCACAAAGCTGAAGGAACAAGCTGAGGACTAGGCAGAGGTGATTCCCGGAGTAGTTTTGCTAAGTAACTGGTCATTCCAATAGCCACAGTTTTGAAATGTTCACAGATGGTTTTGATGTGTGGGGAGCTGCTGTCTATGTAAACGTGAAAAGGCTCTTCCTGTAGTCTAGGAATCCAGTAAACAAAAGGCAACCCCACCACCAGGTAGGCAATATGCCACTAGTGATTGGAAAACTAGGGATTGCCTAGTTCTAGCTAATTCAGGAAAAAGCGCATTTGAGACTGAACCCCAAAGATGTGGGAGTTCGCCAGGAAGAGGACATTGTGTGACTAATTGAAGATTGTATGATTGAAGCTTGCCAGCTCCTCAGCCAGCCACTTAGGAGAGTGTTGCTTTCTTGTTAGTACTTAGAGTAGAACAACACATATTTAGTAAAGAAAAGAACGAACCTGGGTATGGTGACACACAATCAGCAGGCTGAGGCCGGTGGGTTGTTGCGAGTTCAAGGCTAGCCTTGTTAGCATGGCTTCATGCTCAAGATCATCTTTCTCATCACTTCAGCATGAAGACACAGAAACGTAGAGAAGCCTAATGAAGTTGCAGGTCATGTACAAATTAGTGGCAGAAGTAGAACTTGAAAGTAGATCTTCCAAAACCAAGTCTAACTTTTATATTTTGAAATACAGTTGTGATGAATATAATCTTTTGATAAAACACAAAATTTGAAAAATGTGTATTATAATTTTTCAATGGCCAGCTGTATATCTTCCAAAGCTAAAGCTGTTGTGTCAAGGTTTCTAAATCTATCAGAATTAACACTAAAAACTGTAATACTTAAGCATTCACTACTGTCACTATAAGTCAAATGATCTCTACAATGACAGTGTTTTATACAACTTGTTAAAATTTCACGAATAAGCTGGGTGTGGTGGCATGTGCCTGCAATCCCAGCACTTGGGAGGCTGAGGAAGGAGGCTCACTGTGAGTTCAAAATCAGCCTGAACTACGTAATGTCTCAGCATAAAAAAGAAAATACTTCATAAATAGCACAGATACTACATTTAGGTAAAAATGTATTTTAACAGTTAAAATAGGGAGTTTTATAATATACAAAGAATTCTACTTAAAAATGAAAGATATCTATCTATCTATCTATATATCTATATCTATATCTATATCTATATCTATATCTATATCTATATCCCTCAATGTTTCAGGTGACTGTCACTGGGAGAAATGAGGACTATAGAAATGTGCTTTAAATGTTATTTCCTATCCTCTGTTAGGTGGCTGAATTTCCTTGTTTGTAAATTCAGCTCTGAAGAATAGATGGCAGCTGCCATTTCTGAGTTTTCGCGCTGTCTACTTTAGAAGTAGCCACAAGATTTCTGCTGGCTGCAGCAATGGAAGGAATTTCCCTTAACTTTGGGGTAGCTTTTTTGACTGTCAGCAACATTGGCAGGGAGATTCCCTGAAGGAGTTCTTTAACTGTGATAAATGAAACTAAATCCCCACCTGCCACACTGTCCCTGTCCCTGGGTGCACTGAGCTGGCCACCAAGAGTTTTGTGTGGTGGCGCATGTGGGTAATCCCAGCACTGGGGAGGCTGCAAACAGGAAGACCACTATGAGCCCAAGCTGTGCAGTGAGACCGTGTACCAAATACATTAAAAAAAAAAAAAAAAAA